CAGGTAGCAAGGAGCCAAGTTACTAATGAAAGGCAGCTTTGATATGGGTTAAGAATAAAGACAGGGTGGGAGGAAGAAAGGGCGCATCTCTTGGGAAAGCTGGAATTGTCCCTTTACAGAGAAGGGTGAGGGGCTCTGAGGGTCATCCCAATGCTTGCAATGGCCTTGCTGATCCAGGGGTACCTGGTATACCAAGTCCACTGAACCACAGCAAGGAGGGAAGATTCGGGTGGAAGGAAAATGCCAGCAGCTGGCACATACCAAGTCCTGTGCGGTTTTTGTGAATCACAGTACCCTCCTCGAAGCAATCCTCCAGGGCACCTGGACTATGTATACTCAGAGAGCTTGTGCCCCAGCAAGATCTAGCTGAGCTTCATGACTCCCAAGATCACACAGCTAGAGACAGGCAGGCAGGGATGGTGCAGGCTACTGTTTTGTTTGCCTACCAAAGCACCTCTCCTAAATCATGAAAACAAAAAATATTCTTGAAGCCAGGCACTGGTGAGCCATGCCTATAATCCTAGCTACTTGAGATCTGAGGATCACAGTTCAAGTGATCCAAAGCCAACCTGGGCAGAAAAATCAATGATTCTCTTCTCTTCAATGAACTACAAAAAGCTAGAAATGAGGCTGGGAGCTGGGAGCTCATGACCTGTAGTCCTAGCTACTCAGGAGGCTGAGATCTGAGGATCTGGTTCAAAGCCAGCCTCGGCAGACTCTGATCTCCAATAAACCACCAGAAAATGAGGAGCAAAAGAGCTCAGGGACTGTGCCCATGACCAGCAATACCAGCAACAAAACAGTCAGAAGTGGAGCCGTGGCTCAAATGGTAGAGCACCAGCCTTGAGAAAAAAAAAAGTTCAGGCTAGTGCCCAGGCCCTGAGTCAAGCCCTAGGAGTAGCCAAATATGTATGGTGTGTGTGTGTGTGTGTGTGTGTGTGTGTGTGTGTGTGTGTGTTTTCTTGAGTGGAAACTGTGATGCAAATAAATTGGTGCCTGGGGAAAGACTATGCTACTTCTACTCTCTAGATCATTCCATTTACACTTATCTCTTTAATACCTGCCCAGCCATGGCCTGCGGAACAAGTTCAGCCGATGTTAATAGAATTGGATGCAGGAATGGCTAGACTCATTTCTCAGCTTTCAAGAGGGCAAGCCTCACAGGCTCTCAATGTCTTCAGCGACACAAAGAGAGATTGCAGAAATTAAACTTCCCACAAAAAACCTATCGCATTGCATGAATCTTGTCTTCTCGCCACCTCACAGCAGAAGCCCTCTGCTTCTCCTTGGATTTGGTGATGGAGGAGAGGCAGAATTAAAATCCAGACATGCACAGAAGACACCTTGAGTGTAGGTGAACATCGTCTGTTGAGTGACACAGTGCGAGAGTTTAAAAGGCTGAATTCAGCTCAGCACTGGTGGCTCACACCTATAATCCCAGCTACTCAGGAGGCTGAGGTCGAGGATTGAGTTCAAAGCCAGCTGGGGCAGGAAAGTCCATGGTACTCTTATCTCCAATTAATCATTGGAGAACCAAAGGTAGAGCTGTGGCTCAAAATGGTAGAGCACTGTCCTTGAGCAAAAAGAGCTCAGAAACAGCACCCAGACCCTAAGTTCAAGCCCCATGACTGACTAAAACAAACAAAACAAAAAACAACAAAACAAAAAAGGCTGAATTGTACTGCAGTGGCTCCTGCCTCTTAATCCTAGTCACTCAGCAGGCTGAGATCTGAAGATTGTGGTTCAAATCCAGCCCAGACAGGAAAGTCTGTGAGACTCTTTTCACCAGTTAACAATCAAAAACCCAGAATAGGGTTGAATAGCCTTGAATAGGGAAAGCTCAAAGATGGCTAGGATTACAGGCGTGAGCCACCAGTATGAAGCTTTATCATTTTTTTTTTTTTATTCTATCAGAGAAACAGACTACTCCATGATGGAGTGTTTTTGAACATTTCTAACAGGATTTTATTTCCAGTGTGTTTATAATGACCTTCTACTTCAGCCAAGTGATATAAATAGTCCCTTCTGGTTTTAGTGATTTCTATTTTTTTTACATGTTAACGTATGTACTTAATTTTCCATATCTGGGCTTAGATCATATGTGATTTATTTTTAAACTTTAGCCACCCCCCTCCATACACACACTTTTTACATTCTGTAATTTTCTAATGTCATCAGCACAGGAAGAAGGAGGAGGCATAAAAATCCTAAACAACAGACAGGCAACTAATTTAATGGTACAGCACAAGACTGGGAACAGACAGCAAGTATAAATGGTCAGAAGTGGAAAAAATTTTCACTCACTTTTAACAAGTACATGTTTCTTTGGGGGTCCATCAAAGTATTTCTGGAACTAGTAAACTTTGTAAATGAATCAATATATATTATAAATATAAGTTATATATCATATTTTTGTTGTTGTTGCCAATCCTGGGGCTTGAACTCAAGGTCTGAACACTGAGCTTTTGTGCTCAAGGCTAGTGGTCTACCATTTTGAGCCACAGCTCCACTTTTGGCTTTTTTGGTGATTAATTGGAGATAAAAGTCTCACAGACTTTCCCTCTTGGGCTGGTTTCAAACCATGATCCTCAGATCTCAGCCTCCTGATTAGCTAGGATTACAGGTGTGAGCTATTCGTGCCCGGCTTGTAAATATTTTTAATACTGAATTTAATAAATTTACTTTTCATAAACTTCAGCCTTTTAAAAATTCTTTTTTTCCATTGCTATTTTCTTCTCCAAGTCTTGTTTTCCTTATTCAATACAGCATGAAAATCCCAGCATCCGACATGGTTTGATTTCTTTCTTGTTAGGCCAGGACTCTATTGCTGGAGTCATACCCCGGGCTCAATTTCTTTATGAGTGCTTCCTAAGATGTCACGCCATGCTAGGCCATGATTTATTCAGTAGTCTCTGCAGAGCTGGATAGCCACTCCATTCCCATTGCTCACTGTTCTAAAAACTGCAAGGGATATTTTTAAGTCTGGGCATTTTCATGGTCTAAAGCAAATTCACGGGAAAGGACAATGGTTTCTTTGCAAAGAAATGTTATTGCTACAAAACTCTGGAATCAACTTGAAATGTAAAGAGAGGGATTAGACTAAAGTGATCCTAGCTGGGCACTGGTAATTCACATCTGTAATCCTAGCCATTCAAGAGGCAAGATCTGAGGCTCGAGGTTCAAAGCCAGCCACAGCAGACAAATCTGAGAGACTCTTTTCTCCAATTAACCACCCAAAAGCCAGAAGTGGAGCTGCAGATTAAATGGTAGAGTGCTAGTCTTGAGCAAAAGCGCTAAGGTACAGGGCCCAGGCCCTGAGTCCAAACCACCCCCCCCCAAAAAAAACCCACAAAGTAGTCCTGACTCAGGAGGGCCCCTCTTCTGCCTGGAGGGGGTATGGTTGCTTTTGGCTTGGCTCCTATAGAAGTTAGAGGAGTTTGTTTTTGGAACAGGGGACAAGGGAATGCATATGACACGCAAAGGGTTTGGGTGTGAGGTATTTCATTAATTTACCTTGGATGGCAGCTTCTTGCTCACCCTCTGTTAAACCATATCAGACACCATCTCAGATACCGCGAGGGAGATTATGCCTTGAGTCCAGAATTTCCTGGTCTGAGAGAAAACGTGTGTGTCTTTTAGTACGAGAAAGGGCTTCCCAAGGCCAGAGAGAGGGGAGGCTCAAGGGAGCTGAAGCCTCCTTGTAAAAATTTGCTCTCACACAAGCTCAGATACAAACAAGGTAACAATAATGTACTATCACACACACACACACACACACACACACACACACACACACACACACACACACCAGCATTCCAACCCCCCTTCCTTCCCTCCCCACACATATGCAGAAATATTGAAAACTACATGGGAGCCCTGGGACCGTTGCTGTGGGAACTAGGATTCACTTGTGGGCCTCTGAATTCTTGCTCTGAATATTACATTTGCTACAGTTTGTGCTCTGAATTCTGAGCCATTTCTCCTTTGGGGATCAGGCTAAGACAGTCAGCCAGGGAGTTGGTGAGGATGCGCAATTAAAGGGCTGATTGCTTTCTGTCTGGGTGATAAAATGGCCCAGATGGGAGCTGGTAAGAGGGCCATGTCTGCAGAGGGGTATGTGCATGCTCAAGCTTGCGCTCATGGGTGTGAAGGTAGAAACTTCTCAGGGGAGCCTCTGAGAACGAGCTGCCTGTAGCTCAGCCCACTAAGCTGAGCTATTGTAACAAGTATACTCCTTCCCCTTAGATGGGGGTGCTGGTCCCGGGTCTTGAACTCCAAGCCTAGGCACTGTCCCAGATCTTTTTCCCTCAAGACTGGCAACTCTACCACTTGAGCCTCAGCTCTACTTTGGCTTTTTGGAAGTTAATTGGAAGTAAGAGTCTCACAGGCTTTCTTGCCTGAATTGGCTAGGATTACAAGGCATGAGCTACCAGTGCCTGGTTTAAAGTTTACTTTTGTAGTTGGTGATGGTGGTGGTCATAAGGCTTGAATTCAAGGCCTGAATGCTTTCCCTGAGCTTTTTCACTCAAAGCTAGTGCTCTACCATTTTGAGCCACAGCGCCACTCCTGGTTTTCTGGTGGTTAATTGGAGATAAGAGTCTCACAGACTTTCATGCCCCAGCTGGCTTTGAGCTGTAATCCTCAGATCTCAGCCAACTGGGTAACTAGGATTACGGGCGTGAGCCAGGTGCTCGGCTAACGTTTACTTCTTACTCATGCAAAATTCAAGTGCAGTTGTCACCTTGCCATTACACCTGGAACCCAGGAGCCTCTGATGTCCCATAGTAGAGGAGATTCAGGTACAGGAGGCTCACCATTTCCGTCTTACCCTTGGCTCAACCTGTCATTCTGCCCAGGCTTGAATGCCCCAAACCTACGTACATAATCCACAGGAACAGGAAATGCCCACAGCAGGCTCCAGAAGGCATGTCCTGCCATTGGGGACTTTTGTGACCTCCACATCCGATTTTACTCACTCACGTGGTTGCTGTTGGTTGTAGGTCTCCCATCTCCAGCCCCGGCTGACAAACACAGTACCAGCAGGGCTGAAAACAGGCTTCTGAAGGCAGGGAAGCCAGGTAAGTACTCAATCTTTCCAGGGGCCCACAGCCAGCAATCTGAGATCAGAGAGACGCTGGGGTAAAAAGGAAGGAAAACAGATTTTTTTTTTGGTCAGTCATGAGGCTTGAACTCAGGGCTGGACACTATCCCTGAGCTTTTTTGCTCAAGGCTAGCACACTACCAGTTTGAGCCACAGCTCCACTTCTAGTTTTCTTGTAGTTCATTGGAGATAAGAGTCTCACAGACTTTCCTGCCCAGCCTGGTTGTGAACCAGGATCCTCAGATCTCAGCCCATTCTGAGTTGCTGGAATGACAGGTGTGAGTCACCAGCGTGCGGTGGGAAGTAGACTTTTTAAGGAAAATTCAGATAACACTTCTGGCTGGTCCAGGGACTGAAGTTCACCTCTGGATTCCCCCTGTGTCATCGGTGTAGGCCATGGAGCTCATGGAGGGGGTTGGGGGGAACATGCCATAGCTCTTGTGGGGTGGAAGGTGCCATCAGACCTGCCTTTGATGTGTTCAGTGGGTGTTTATTTGAGGACCTGCTTTGTACAGGGAGAAGGCTTTGTTTGCACTGGTGCACAAGCCTGGACAAAGATGATGTATGGCTCCTATAGAAAGGGATGTGGAGGGGGGAAAAGCCCCTTTCCCATAGAACAGTCCATGTTTCACACCGGTTCTCCAAGGGTCCCACATGGCCCCAAGGGGCCAGGACTCTGTCCTGTCACACATACCAGGTACCCCATGTGCTGGGCTCTCTGGCTCACGCCTGTCATCCTAGCTACTCAGGAGGCTGGGATCTGAGGATCGCGATTCAAAGCCAGTCAGAGCAGGAAACTCTGCAAGACTCTTCTTTCCAGTTAATCACCAGAAAAGCTGGTAATCGAGCAGTGGCTGAACTGGCAGAGGGCTAGGCCTGAGCATACACACAAAAAAGTTCAGGGACAGCACTCAGGCCCTGAGTTCAAGCACCAGGGCTTGATCTTGTAGACAAGGGCACACAGAGGATTGTGGGACCCTCACCTCCACCCCCTCTCGTCTAACCTCCAGAGCCCCCCTGGAGCCCCTCATCTCTTGACTCCAGGAAAGTCAAGCCTGCAGGGGCACCTGGGAATTCCCACGGGACCCCCTCCTCCTCTTGCAGACCTGCAGGGCCTTGGCTAAGGTGGTGCCCTGGGTGAGTGGTGTAGACCCAGCCACCTCCATTGGGGAAGTCTGAGCCCCATGAGGAGCTCACCTCTGGTCTGACACTTCCAGGGGAGCTGGAGGTCCGCCTGGTGAATGGGAGCAGCAGCTGCAGCGGGACGGTGGAAGTCCAACTCAGGGGGACCTGGAAGCCCGCCTGCGGGGCACTCTGGAACTTCCAGGCCGCCCAGGCCGTGTGCCAGGCCCTGGGCTGTGGCATGGCAGAGACCCCTGCCCAGCCTGTATCGCCCACCCCAGAGCTGCAGCCTGTGCCCACTGCGGCGAACACCAGCGGGCCCCTCAACAGCACACGGCCGCTGGCACCTGCCATCGTGTGCAACGGAAGCGGCTGGCAGCTGTGCAAGGTCCTGGACCAGCACCAGGAGTGCAGTAGCGAAGGGAGGCCCGCCTGGGTCACCTGTACAGGTGAGAGTGGCCGTTCCCCACCCCCACACTGACCCCTGGCCTCAGGGCTTCAGCCACTGACTCTGGATCCAATCACTGCACCCAAGTCTCCTCTACTTGTGTCAAAATGGTGTCATTTCCAGATCTGCACGTGTCCCCAGATCCAGGTTCTGCCCTGCTAGTGCGATCTCCAGATCACCCCCTTGATCCCCAGTTCCAGCCCCATGTCTGCAACTAACCAACTCCCTGATCCCCTTCCCTTCAAAGACCTCTGTAGGCCCATCCTGCCATATATGCCAAAGCTTTCTTTTATTTATTTCATTTAATTTCATTTTGTTAATTGTGGGGCTTGAACTCAGGGCCTGAGAGCTGTCCCTGAACTCTTTCCCTCAAGACTAGCACTCTACCACTTTGAGTCACAGAACCACTTCTGGTTTCCTGGTGGCTCATTGAGATAAGAGTCTCACAGGCTGGCTTTGAACCATGACCTCCTGAGTAGCTAGGATGACAGGTGTGAGCCACCAGCGCCTGGCAAGGCTTTCCTTTATTTTAAAAAGAGATCAATTATTTTGAACGGTCTTTAATTAGTCATTCAAAGGGATTTCAAGTTGACAAGTCAGTTTGTGAGTACAATGCATCTTGATCAGTGCCGCCCCCTCCATCATCTCCCCCATCTTCTCCAACCCCACCCATCCCCTCAAATTACCTGGCTCCAAGGAAGATACCAGTGGCTCATGCCTATAATCCTACCTATTTAGGAGGCTGAGGTCTGAGGATCACCATCCAAAGCCAGCCCAGGCAGGAAAGTCCATGAGATTCTTATCTCCAAGAAACCACCAGAAAACCGGAAGTGGCACTGTGGCTCAGGTAGTAGAGCGCTGGCCTTGAACTGAAGAACTGAGGGACAGAGCCCAGGCCCAGAGTTCAAGCCCCACGACCGACAAAATAAAATAAAATAAAAATTACCTGGCTCCATTTTCACATGACCCCATACATTGAGTAATAATACACATTGGCCTACCCTTCCTCTCTTCCTTCCTCTTCCCATCCAGGCTTGCCTTAGCACTGTGTTTTGGGGTCCAGCCCCCAGGCTGCCCTCTAGGCTGGGCCTGGGGCCTCCAGCCCTATACCCGGGCCTGCACCTCTGCCTACCTGGTCAGCATAAGTAGCCCGGCCCTCACCAGCTCTACAGCCCCGCCCCACCTCCTGACCACCTGCCCGCTTTCTGGACCCTAACTCAAGATCCAACCCCCTCCCACCCTCCCAGAAAACAGGGCCCTGCGATTGGCTGACGGTGGCAGCCGCTGCGCTGGCCGGGTGGAGATGCTGGAGCGCGGCCGGTGGGGTACCCTGTGCGATGATGCGTGGGACCTGGAAGATGCCAACGTGGTGTGCCAGCAACTCCAGTGCGGCCTCGCCGTCCAGGCCCTGCCCGGCCTGCACTTCGCCCCGGGCCGAGGGCCCATCCACCGCGACCAGGTGAACTGCAGCGGGGCGGAGGCCCATCTGTGGGACTGCCCCGGGCTGTCGGGAGACCTGTACTGCGGGCACAAGGAGGACGCAGGTGTGGTGTGTTCAGGTCAGTGGGTCGCGTGGCTGGGTCTGAGCGCTGAAGGCAGATGGCCTTGTCCTTAGTTGGGGTCACCATCCAGGAGGGGAGATAGAGAGGACCCACGCAAACAGAATGCAAGGAAGGCAATGGATGCCCCACTGGAAGAGAGCTGGCAGCCAGGCAGACACAGCTGGAGAAGTGAGGGTCTTCCTTGTTTTGAGCAAGGGGACTGAAGGCAGGATGGATGGATTCTGGAGAGACTTTGGGCCATCCAGTTGAGACCAGGAAGTTCTGGTCCAGCCAGGGCTCCTCATTAATACCAGAAAGAAAGAGGAGTGGCATTAAAATATAAATATGTACTGACGCCATAAGCCTGGGCCTTAAAAAAACTGTCTTTTCTATCAAAGTGTGTTGTTTAAAAGTTCCTGCTGTGGCCTGGTCTCTTGGCTCTTGTTAAGGAAACGAGGAACTGTAGGATAAGAAAGGGTTTTTGAAATGTATTTGTCTTAACTGTTTTTTTCCAAGATGGACTTAAGATACATCTCAGAAGGCAAACCTCGGATTGTTCAAGAAATAACAGAGGATACCGGTATATTCTGAGATGACTTGTGTAGTGTTAATCTTATGTCAGAGTCACCTTATGTCAATACATCTTACCTATTCAAATTAGCCAATCATGAGCAGGTTGTGATCCTGAGCTCCACCAATCTGAGCAGAGGGGCGGGGCCTGCTGCATTAGGGATAAATAGGGCAGCAGCCAACCTGCTCTGTGTGCTTGCTTGCCAGATGTTTGACTGATGGCTCATTCCTCTGCAGAAATAAGTTTTGCCTTGCTGAGAGTCATCCTGACTCTGGTGGTTCTTGGAAAGCCTGTTTATAACACAGGGTTGGCCAGAACAATTGGGGCAGGGGAGGCAGGCACAGATCATGGGCAGGGGACCTAAGGTTAGCTGCATTTCACCTCAGCATGGGGGTTCTGAGTGGCAGGGATTTGGGCCTATGGGATCCTGACCTGTGTCTGCTCTCTCTCCTCCCTCACAGAACATCAGTCCTGGCGCCTGACCGGGGGCATTGACCCCTGTGAGGGACAGGTGGAGGTGTACTTCCGAAGGGTCTGGAGCACCGTGTGTGACAGCGAGTGGTACCAACCAGAGGCCCAGGTGCTCTGCCGGGCTTTGGGCTGCGGGGATGTGGTAAACTGGCCCAAGGGGCAGCCCCACAACCTGGAGGGCAAGATGTCCTACTCATGTACAGGAGAAGAGCCTACTCTTTCCGAATGTTCCTGGTGGTTTAACAACTCCAACCTCTGCAAACAGTCGCTGGCAGCCAGGGTCCTCTGCTCAGGTATCCCTTCTCCTCCCACCATAGGCCATCCTCTTAGATTGGACCAGAATCTTGCCTGAGTCTCCATTTACAGCTTGGACTAGATTAGCAACAGTGAATATTGAAGGAACCATCATCATTACCATGCCCAAGCAGACATTACTAATTCATTACTGAATTCTTTTTTTCCTACAGATGCTTGCCCTAGGGTTATGAATCAAGTATTTGTTAAGACTTCATGGTATGCAAACCTATGGTCCCTGTTGACTAAGATTGGTCCAGGAGATAAGGACCAGTTTGCTATCCCAGGGTTGATGATCATAAGGAAGATTAGTATTCCGAAAAGAACACTGATTTGGAAGAGCACAGACACCTGAATCCAGCTCTGCCTTTTATTGGCTTCCAGGCTTGGAGGCTTCAGATTCTGTGATATGAGGATTCTGAAGTTGCTGATCAAAACATTCCACAAATTAGCTGGGAAATTAGACAAAATGTGCTTACGGGCCTTTGTAAGCTCTGCCCCTTTGTAAGCAGACCAGTCATATGGAAGTTCAAATTAGGGTAACGAGGGTAACTTCAGCTCCCTAACTCCTGAGGTTACAAAGAAGAACAAATAAGTCTGGCAGCCAGGCAGCCAGGCATCATGGCTCATGCCTGCAATCCCAACTTCTTGGGGAGGTGGATTTCAAGGGTTGGAGAGATCCTATCTGAAAAAGAACTGAAAAGGACTGGAAGTGTGGCTCACATGGTAGAGTATCTACCTAGTAAACATGAGGACCTGAGTTCAAACCTCAACATCATCAAAATATAACAACTAAAATAATAGTAAAGGCTGGGCTAAAAAAGAGGCTTGGGGTCTGGGGCAGATTATACAGTCAGAAGTGCCCATTCTTTTATTATCTTCTTAGTCTAAGCAGAGCCCCTCCCTGGGCTTCATTCTGGAGCCCCTCCTTGTTGCTGGAGGTGGAGGCTAGAATGGGATCTTGCCTCATGCCCACATGCCCATGTTGGGATCATCCCCGCCCCCCATTTCAGGCCATTTGTCTGTCTTCTAGACCTGGCACCCAGTAGGTGCTCAGGAAATGTGTTGAGTGAGTGAATAGGGTGGTGCTTTCTGACAGGCTCCCGGAAACAGCAGCATCCGTCTACTTCTGATGGCCCTGCGAGTATTCAGCCAGTCACTATAGGTAAGTGGAGCTTTTCCTAGAAGCCCCGGTGCATGAGTGCATACACATGTGTGTGCATGAATGTGTGCCTTTGTGTGTGCACATATGTGTTTCCATGTCCTCCCACCTCCATCCCAGCTGGTACACATGTCCCCTGGGGACTCTGAGTATCTTGTGTTGCCCTATTGTGCTTATTTATTTATCCATTTCTTTGATTGGTTGGTTATGCAGATAATGGGCCTCGACCTCAGAGCTTTGCTCTCTTGCCTGGCTTTTTTGCTCAAGGCTGGTGCTCCACCACTTGAGCCATACCTCCATTTCTGTCCTTTTTGCTTATTAATCGGAGATGAGCGTCTTATAGATGTTTCTATCCATGATGGCCTCAAATCTCGATCCCCAGATCGAGCTTCCTGAGTAGCTAGGATTACGGGTGTGAGCACCAGCACCAGCCCCATCACCTTTATTTGCTGCCTTTACTGCTTTCAGAGCCAATTTGATGAGGTTTCACTGTATCTTTTTATGTGAAGAAAGAAGCCAAGGCTGGAGGCTGAAAGGACAGCCACTGTGATGGCTAGAACCTGCACCCCTAGCGCTAACTCCAGTCCCACACTCCATCTCTCTACCAGCGGCAGGACAGGCTCCCAGCAGCGCCTTGCTAGCTGTGTGACTTTGGCTAGTTCTTAAGCTCTCTGAGCTTCAGATTCCTCTGTTTCAGAGCATGATACTCACAGTGCCTCTTTCCTGGCTCTACAGTTCAGCCTTCAGTGAATTTCAGGCATAAGACAGGATGACAAGGAAACGGTGAAGAGAGCACCATGCTCATCATTCCCCCCCCCCCCTCACTGAATTGGCATTCTTGTTTCCAGAATCTTCTGTGACAGTGAAAATGGAGGACAGTGAATCTTGGGAGCTAATGCTTCTCATCTCCTGCATCGTTCTGGGAGTGCTCCTCCTTGGTGCAGTCATCTCCATAATCATCCTCCTCTTGAAAGTCAAAGGAAAATACGGTAGGTGGGAAGACCTTTGAGCCGTCAGAGTGGCGTGACCCAGCAAAGGTCACGCAGCCCAGCCCCAGGAAAGCTCCCTCTGTCGTGGGAAGAATTTTCCCAGCATGCCCAGCAGGAGCAAATCCACTAGTGTGGGTCTCCAAGAGGGCCAGGCTCTGTAAATGACATATATGCACGTATACATGTCTTCATATGTGTGCACACACTTGTATACATGCATGCATGCATATATGTGTCTCTGTGCATGAACCTCTCTGCATGTGCACATGCATGTAAGTGTGCAAGTGCACACATGCACGTGCAGATTGTGCATGCACATGGTTGCATGCAGCGGACGTGTGTGTGCACACATGTATGTGTGTGAAGGCTGTGTGTGTGTGTGTGTGTGTAACCAGTAGACTGGAGAAGGCAGAAAGATGGCTGTAGACTCTCTGCCTCCCCTCCCCCAGCACTCCCTGTAACCGAGAACCACCAGCAGTCTCCCTCCACCACCCCAGCGGGGCTCAATAGTTACCAAGCCGTTCCCATCACCATCACCATGCCCAAAGACGAAGGTAGGACATCACCCATCTGAAGATGGGGAGGGGAAGGACAGGCCCTCTGGAGGGTTGGCACTGCTGAGATCACAACGTACTTGGTTGAGAGAAGCCCAAGCCAGTTCACCCTAGCTCTGCCCTTGGGCAGGTCATGGTGTTCCCTCTCTGACTAGATGTGTAGATCACTCACCCACTGAGTCCCTCCTAGACTCTGGGGTTCTGCTGACCAAGGGCAGAGGAGGGGTGGGGTGTCAGTTCTCAGAAGAAAGCTTGCCCTGCTCATTGGCTGTTAGGTTTGTGATGTGGTCACATTGCACAAACCACGGCCTTGCACAGCCCTGTTAAGATTCTCCTGGAACGTAATATTATTTCACGGTTCCTGAGTAAACACAATTGGATCGCTCATCCGTTCTTCAGGAGACATGGATGTAGACTTCTTGAAAATCTTGCCAAAGAGTGTGCATTTATGACTTTGAATTGTGAATATAACCAGGTGTCTTGTCATGCTTAGATAAGAATGCAGCAACGGCAAAACAAATCCCCCACCAGACAGAATGACTAGTAGTTTGTACACACAGCATTCATGTGTATAAGTAAGGGCTGGAGAGCTGGCATCTTGCACAGAGCAGTATTTAAACACAGAACAGTCACTCACCACGTAATATCATCTACAGACTGAGATTCGAGTCAAGTGAAAACCTCCGGGTCCCTCAGTTTCCTCAGCTGCAAAACGGGACAATGGGGTGTACCCAACTCCTCAGCCTTCTCTCGAGGGCTAAATGAGCTCAGATGGACCAACATTAGCATAGTGCCTGATGCATTGTGGGTACTGTCATGCTGGTTATATAAGAAAATGTTTAGGTTTCCATATGTGAAATGGGGTGGGGTTGCGGGGGGGGGGCGGCGGGGGGAGTCAAGGCTAGATGGTCTTGACCCAGCTGAGCTACATGGAATTCTGTCCCCACCAGACCCCACCGTAAGTATTCTGGGATACTTTCCCTTTGTCTGCCTACCATGTCATCATGCCGCCCTCCATCCCCCCTCCCTCCCTGCCCCTGGCCCACTCTGTTTTCTCTCCAGGTCTCAAGTTGCCTATCCAGGTCCGGGACCCACACCCCGAGGACTCAGACTCCAGCTCGGATTCAGATTATGAGCACTATGACTTCAGTGCCCAGCCTCCTGTGGCCCTGATCACCTTCCACAGTGAGTCCATGCTGGGGCTCACAAGGGCACCCCACACCTTCAGTAGAGACCCATCTGCATGGTATGGGCAGATGCAAATGCCCTGCTCTGGAGTTTTCAAAGTGCTTTGCCATCCTGGAAGGGCTTCTACTCTGACCCCTGCCCCTGCCATGATTGTCTTTCTCCATGAGGATCTCAACAAGGCCCTCAAAAGCCATCTACAAGGGCTGGGAAGGTGGCTCAGTGGTAGAGTGCTTGCCTTGCATGCATGAGGCCTTGGGTTCAATTCCTCAGCACCACATAAGCAGAAAAAGCCAGAAGTGGTGCTGTGGGTCAAGTGGTAGAGCGCTAGCCTTGAGCTAAGGGACAGTGCCCAGGCCCAGAGTTCAAGCCCCATGACTGAGAAAGAAAGAAAGAAAGAAAGAGAGAAAGAAAGAAAGAGAGAGAGAAGGAAAGAAAGAGAGAAAGAAAGAAAGCCACCTGCAAGTAGCTGTCTTTGTCACATGTCATCAGGTCCAAGAGAGAGACACATTCAGAACTATCCCTTGCACCTCTGTACCCGGTGTCCGACCTTCTGGTTGCTTTGTTTTGTGTTTATGCCAGGACTCTTGACCTCAAGGCCTCATGCTTCTTTTATGCTCTACCACTTAAGGCACAGCTCCACTTCCTTTTTTTTTTTTTTTCCTTTCTGCTTGATGGGAGATAAGAGTCTCATGGACATTTTTGCCCAGACTGCCTTTGAATCACAACCCTCAGATCTCAGCCTCCTGAGTAGCTAAGGTTACAAAGCGTGAGCCACGGAGGCACAGCGGGACACTGGAATTCTTAACACCACCAGTCTCTGAGACTGGAAGCTTCCATAAAGCCTGTAATGCAACCATCCCGGACTAAGCAACCTCTGCTCTGGGCAAGTATTAGAGCCCATTTCCAGAGCCGCCAGGTTGTGAAGGGAGACCCCAGACTGGGATCTTGTCAAGAGGCAGGAGGGGGCCACTGGCAGGCAAGCAGGCCCCTAGGGGTTTGGGGTTTGCCTCCCATGCTGGCACCAGCGTAGATCTGGGCCTGCCTAAGGTTGAATTGAGCTCTGCTGGGTTAGGATGGGAGCCTGGGGCCCCGTGTCCCCCTTCCCGTCACCTTGCCCCTCCCTGACTTCTTGCAGATTCCCAGCGGCACCGGGTGACAGAGGCGGAAGCCCAGCAGAGCAGGTTCCAGATGCCACCCTTGGAGGAAGGTGAGTCGCAGCAACCTTCTAGCGGTTCTCCCTGACTGTAACCGTTTCCCTAGGCAGGGAGTTCTTTCTGGAGTCTGATCTAAAGCCCTCTTGCAAGCATTGTTTCTTTCCTTTTTATTTTCTTTTTCCTGGCCCAGGACTTGAAGAGCTACATGTTTCCCACGAGCCAGCTGTGGACCCCAGACCTTACATAGCAGACCCCCCTTCTGTGGGCCCTGGGTATCACGCCCGGAGCCACAGTGGGTCCAGCACATCTTCTGGGGAGAATTACTGCAACAGCCCCAGCAGCAAGCCACCCCCGTGGGACCCCCAGATGTTTTCTTCAGAGCAACAATCCCCCAATTTGGAGCTAGCAGACTCTCAGGCAACTTTTTCAGGTAGCTGTGTACCCCGCTTTTTAGCCTCCCCTCAATACTCTAGTTAGTGAGCTGGCAGACCGTGAAGCTGGGAGCCTCCTTGCTTGACTGAGGTCAGGATTCAAGCCACCGGCTCTTACTGGATGTCCTTGGACCAATCTCTGCCCATCTCTAGGCTTTGCTTTGGCCTCTATTCTGGCTGGAGGCTTGGCTCGCTCTCATCTCTGGGCCCCCTAGCTCTGGCAGGGACTGTCTGCCCAGAGAGGATGACTGGCATGGGGGTCTCCTGCAGGGCCCTTCGCTGACAACAGCTCCAGCACCTCGTCGGGAGAATGGTACCAGAACTTCCGGCCGCCCCAGCCTCTTCTGCCGGAGCAGTTGGAACATCCAGGTGCTGGGACTGGGGAAGGGGGCCGGCAGGAGGGGGGACAGCTGTGAGCAGGGAGAGGCAGGTGAAGTACAGGTATCTGGACCCATGGGAAACCTCAGCCCAAGGGGAAACGGAGGGGGAAGGGGAAAGGGAAGGAGAGAGATTTCAAACGTATGCATGAAGCGAGATGCCGGTGGCTCACGCCTGTACTCCTAGCTACTCAGGAGGCTGAGGATCCCGGTTCAAAGCCAGCCCAGGCAGACGTGTCTCTTATCTCCAGTGAATCGCCCAAAGTAGGAGGTGGCGCTGTGGCTCAAGGGGCAGAGCACCAGCCTGGAGTGAAAAAGCTAAGGGATGGTGGCCAGGCTCTGAGTTCAGTCTCCAGGACCAGGACCAAATAGAATAAAAGCAGGAGCAGAGGGGAAGTGGGGTGGGGGAGGGTTTTGGAAGGGGGGACGGGGTTGTGAGAGGAAGTGAGCTCCCTGTTACTGGAGGCATTCAAGCAGAAGCAGCCAGATGGCCAGCAAAGGGAAGAGAGTGGTGACAGCCCCCAGCGCCCGATCACCTGCGCAGTGCCGCAGTGGGACGCCTAGTCTTGCACCTGTCCCACCAGGCTCTGCCCAGCCTTCTGGCTGGGGGAATGACACACACTGAGAAGATGGGATGGCTTTGATGTGGACGGAGCCTCGCTATCCCTGAGTGGGTGTGAGGGGCATCCAGGCTAACCTGGGCCTCCTGCTAACCTGAGCCTTCTGACCCCACAGGCTCCCTTACACCCCAGCCAGACTCCAGTGATGAGAGTGACTACGATGACATCGGAGCCGCCTAGTCTGGGCCCATCCTGGTGGCTCCATCCCTCTCTCCTCCTGTTCTCCCTTCCTCCCCTCCCCCTTCTCTCCCACAGGCCACGGCCTCCCACAGAGAGATGGACAGAGACTCGGCCTCCTGGCACAACTCCAAACAACGGCCCAGGATGGAGGGCGGGACTTGAGGATGAGCTCTGTGTCAATCAATGGCTGTGGAGCTCCTCATTGGGTGATCCTTGGGCACTTTGATTCTGAGTCTCAGGCAGCAGCTCGGGGCAGGAACAGGCCGTCTAAGCCCTGGATGGCTTCTGACCCTGTCACCTGGCCATGTTGTACAGGACTCGGACTCCAGCCTTGAATCATACTGGTCTCTCTACACCTGACAGGGGACATGAACTTCCTGGGCTCTGACAGCTCCCAGCAAGCAGGGTGACCTGTGACCCCACCCCACGCCCATCCCCAACTGAGGAGCGGGGTGGGGTGGGGGGGAAGGAGGGCAGGGCGGGGGGGGGGGGTGTGAAGTCAGGTCCTGCCACCAAGACTCTGTGAGCCCTCCCGGGACTCTGGCCCTTTCCACTATCCCAGGACAGCCGCCTTACTCTAAGCTACAGTGGTTCACTAAGACTGTCCAAGCCAGCCCTCCCCCTGTGCCCACCCTGTTCCTGGGTCAGAGGCCCAGTCGTTGTCCAGGTAGGGGTACACAGATAAGGGCTGGAGGCTACACTAGGTCCTGGAGTCCCTGAATGTCCCATTGGATTGCTGGGGATTCTCCCCCTCAGCCCCCGCTTCCCACCCCAAGGCCCAGGGCTCGGGCCAGGCTTCGGTGGCCAGTTCTGAGTGTCCTGAGATTAAACTGTTGTTGTATGAAGCCCAGGGTCTGGAGTGTCTTATTCTTGAACTGTTATAGAACCCAGGCTGTGTGTGCAAGAAGGCCAGGCGTTAATTTCAACTCAAATTCTTCATTTGGGAATGGTCCCAGGGGGGAACAGAAAGGGGGAGGGGGGGAAGAAGAGCAAAGATGACCCTGTGATCCTGAACACGCCGCTGCCCCAGGCCGCAGGGGCTCAGTCCTGTGGGGACATGAAGCTTAGAATGGACTTGCCCAGGAGCAAGACAGCTGGATTCGGGTCCATCCATCTTACCTGGCATTGGTTTGGGGACCACCCAGCCCCTTATCCCTCTGCCCCTACACTGCCTTGGGAGGTGAGCTGAACAGCTCCGGGGTGCAGAGAAAATGGAGACCAAGGTGAGGGAGCTCTGACCTTGATGACCTTGACCTCTAAGAAGTCTTCTTTCCAGAAACATCCAGGAGGAGCCCAATAGTTGGGCCTGCTATGTGGAGAGGGCATGTGCATGTGTACCACATGGGCAACACCAAGGCTGCGTTTATCCACGGGGGAGGAAATGGCAGGTGAACGGAAAACCTATGGTGGTTCGGCACCCTAAAAAATGTTGGGGGCACAGGGACAAGGGGACATAGAGCTGTTACCTACGGCTGCTCCCACCAGCCCTGGCTCTGCACTGAATCCCACCCCAAACCAGAGCTTCTGGGCAGGGATGGGGTCTGGTTTGGGGGGGCCTCAGGCATTGCAGGACACAGGTGAGTCTGGTAGAGGTGATGGAAGGGAATGTGGGTTCCCCCTCCCCGCCCCCATCCTGGGTCCGAGGTCTATTCTGAAGATGTGATTTTAACTCCACTGCAGTGACCAGTGCCCAGCTCTGTCTATGGGATGTGCGGTGAGGGCTGGGGGTTCGGTTCCCTGAAAGGTCAGGGTGTGCCACTGTTCTACCCTAACATTGGGTCTCAGAGGCACAAAGAAGCTGCAGGCCCTCCCCAGGGCAACTGTTCCAGGATGTGGTTGTCTGTGATGTGCACCCCTCACCCCCCAGTAAACCTCCCCAGGGCTCTGGGGGATTCCTAGAGGAGGAGCCCCAGCTGCGGAGGATGAGGTGGTGAGGGCGAGGCAGCTGAGTTTTGTCCTTCAGCTCAGTTCAGCTCCTGGCTGTGTGGCCTTGGGCAAGCCCTCAGTGTCTCTGAGACTCCAAGCCCAGCAGGTTTGGTTGTAGGGTGAGCACAGCAAGAGTAGATAAGTTACAGGCTGATGAGGCTTAGGGGCTTGGCCATAAGTATACCTCCATAAATAGATCCTTGAAAGGAAGAAATGGAAGCTGGGGCTGGTGGTTCCCACCTGTAATCTTAGCTAGCCAGGAGGCTGAGGTGAGAGGATCGCTGAGGACAGACGTGTTTTTGGACAGAAGAGTCTGTGAGACTCAAGTAGCCAGTCCCCACCCACTCCAAAAATAAAAAAATAAAAAAAGCCGCAAGTGGAGGTGTGGCTCAAGTGATAGAGTCCCAGCCTTGAACAGCAAAAGCCAAGTGACAGAGACCCCTCGAGTTCAAGCCCCAGAACTAACTCAGGAAAAAGGAGAAACAGAAGAGACATCGATGTTCAGGCAGGAAAGGACTTGTCCAAGATCACTGTGCAGAGTTACAGTGCTCCGCTCTGCCTTGCAGCCTCCATAACCAGGTGACATCACTAATGACAGCTTCCATGTGGGTCCTGGCACCTAGCAGGTGTTTCGTCATTCATGGCTACAGCGGCCCCTGGTGGTACCAGCCTCACCTGCACCTTATATCTGAGAAAACAAAGGGTCTGAAGTTGTCCCAGGGCTGGCTGTCCTGTCATGGTGTGGTCCGGCCCCAGGTGCCCCTCCATGTGGCCTCCTGAGGGTGGTAAGATCCACGAGAAAGGCTCACTTCTGTACCTACTGATCTGAATGTCAGACCCCAGTTCACCTGTGTCTCCCAGGTGTCTGGGGGAGGGGCGTAGGGGCGGGGCCAGAGGAGGCTCTGGCTGGATTAGCCTATCGGAGGCCACCTGGACAGGCTGGAGGCCACTCCCAGGGAGCCCAGGCTCAGACTTCCTTTTCCTGGTGGGGCATCACCGACTGGCACCTGACCTGCGCTGGAAACCTCACCTGCAAAGTACACCTGCTGCGTTCCCTATCTCCCATCTGTGGTTTCCACTTCCCCCATCCCTCAACAAAGACCTATGGTGAGGATGGTTCTGGAGGTGGGCAGAGGTGTCTGGAGGCTTGGGGCTGCACCTCGCGGACCCCCTCTGGGCTGTGGCCTCAGACCTCTCTTCTGGCCTGCTGAAGAGGGAACGGAGTCTCCCAGCAGGGAGATGCAGGGAGCCCCCGCCAGGAAGGGGGCCAGTTCAAAGTCGCCTCAGTGGAAAGTTCATCTCCTACCACATCCTTCAGCTGTTTACCAGCTTGGCGGGGCTCTGGCATCCTGACATGAAAGGAAGCGCACCCCACCACCATCATGGAGGAAAGACCAAAATAGCAGCTGAGGAAGACAGAGACAGAGAGACAAAGAGAAACACCGAGAGAGAGAAAGAGAGAGACAAAGGGAGACAATGAGAAACAAAGACAAAGTCAGACAAAGAGAAACAGAGAGGCAGAGAGACAGAGAAGTCCGAGAGAGAAGAAAGACACATAGAAAAGTCAGACAGAAAGAAAGGCAGACACACAAAGAGAGACAGAAAGAGGGAAAAGAAAAGGAGGAGGAAACTAAAGGAAAAACTAGGGAGGCTCATCCAGTGGGCTCAGGTTCCCCCCACCCCAGCCCCTAAGGAGTGCAGAACTCCGGGCTCCCCATCGTTCTAGTGTTAGAGGTTGCAGAAGGAGTTCAAGGTCTAGGTCACCCAGCTAGGAAGGGAGGAGGCCAGATTCACAGTCTGAGGATAAGACTGTGAATAAGGATAAGAAAAGAATGCTAGATGGCCCGGGATGAGTTAGTGACCCCCAGGGGACCCCACCCATCCTCTCCAGGGCCATCATACCAAGCCCCTCCCACCCAGCCACCTTCAGTCACGAGAGGGAGAAGACTTGTCCCCAGTTTGGCCCAGACACAATGGCACAGTGACCACCCCAGACCCAGGGCCCCATGTGTCAATGGGGGTCAAGGCGCAACTCCACAACTCCTTGCCTTCGCTCTGGGTTTCCTGCCCTCACCCTCTGCTTCCCACCTCCCATTGTCTTGGTGGCCCTGCTGCCAGCTGCAGAGCCGCCCAGAGCCGCCCTGATGCAGCCCAGAGCAGCTCCCTCCCCAAGTGGCTCAGGACATGACAGCTGGAAGGTCCAGGGTTGGGCCAGGCCATCTCTCTTACAGACAGCTAGTGCAGAGCCAAAGTAATCACCTGCAAAATGTGGCCCCATTAAGGCCCCCAAGGATGGGGCAATGGGTGTAGCATCCTGGCTGTAGCCCCAAGTCTCCTCCCGAGTCCCCTCCTTCCTCCCCTTGGGTTCCAGGACTCGGTTTCCCTGCCCCAGCTCAGCATCCTGCTCCTGTCTGTCTGTCTGTCTGTCTGCTCGGCTCCTCACTTATGGCAAACTGCAAATGGGACATGCATGCGCCGGGCACCCATCCAGTCTTCGACACATCCACAGAGGGTTCAGTATCCGGGCTTCCTGCCCACTCAGGAGGGATCCTGCTCCTACTGTGCCAGGGACAGGCTTTGTGTCCCCACTTTATCCACCATCCTGATCCCCGTGGGATGGAAGAAGGACCCAGGGGAGGAATGGAGTTCTGAAAGAACATTTCTTAAACCCGTGTACCCCTCCTTAAACCATGTACCCCTCCATGGTTTTTGCTCAATCTGGGGGTCATTTATTCTTCTGGTCACTTTTCTCTATTATTCTTTGAATGGATTCACTTTTTAAATGCAATTTTGTTATTATTGTTGTTATTAGTTACTTTGGTGGGGTTTGCGTACCTTGGTCCTTGTTCTTACTAGAAAGGCACTTTACTGCTTACGCCATATCTCCAGGCCTTTTTGCTTTAGTTTAGTTTTTTTTGTTTCTGTTTTTTTGTCAGTTGTGGGGCTTGAACTCTGGGCCTGGGCGCTGTCCCTCAGCTCTTCAGCTCAAGGCTAGCGCTCTATCACTTGAGCCACAGCAGCACCACGTCCGGCTTTTTCTGCTTATGTGGTGCTGAGGAATGGAACCCTGGGCCTCATGCATGCGAGGCAAGCGCTCTACCACTGAGCCACCTTCCCAGCCCCTAGTTTGTTTGTTTTTTAAATAGAGTCTCAGAGTTATGCCCACGCTGTCTTGACCTCCATCCTCCTATTTACACTTTGGATACAGCTGGGATGACAGGCTTCTGCCACCATGTCCATCTTTTTTCTGTAGAGATGGGGGCGGGGGGGGAAGATCTCTTGAACTTTTTTCCTGGACTGGTCTTGAAACTCCATCCTCCTGATCTTCAACTGACATGTAGCTAAGGGCATAGGCAAGAACCACTCCACCCAGGATGCAAATTTATTATTTTTTATTTTCTAATTGTTATTATAAAGGTGATACACAGAGCAGTTACAGTTATATAAATGAGGTAGTGAGAAGATTTCTTTTTGGATGTCACCCTTTCCCTTGTGCAAATGTCTTTAGACATTTTACAAAAACATCTGACATGTACTCAAAATTGTCAATGTCACGAATACCAAAAATGCTTTCAGTTAAAAGCGCCAAAGAGATGAGTGACAGCAGATGTAGATAAGACTTCCATTTTCTTTTGCTATAGAGGGCATTGGTGGGACTGGTGGGGAAATAAGAATGAGGTGTGTAAATAGATAGTAAGTGCATGGCAATGTCATTTTTCTGATTTTGAAAAAGTTTACTGGAGTTACATCAGAAAACATTCTTTTTTGTTGTTGTTGTTGTTGGTCGTGGGGCCTGAACTCTGGGCCTGGGCACTGTCCCTCAGCTCTTCAGCTTAAGGCTAATGCTCTACCACTTGAGCCACAGCACCACTTCCAGCTTTTTCTGCTTATGTGGTGCTGAGGAATCGAACCCAGGGCCTCATGCATGCAAGGCAAGCACTCTATCACTGAGCCACCTTCCCAGCCCAAAAACATTCTTGCTTCTAAGAAATACAACACAGGTCAGATGCCCATGGCTCAGGTCTGTAAGCCTAGCTATTCAAGAGGCTGAGCTCTAAGGAGTACAGTTTGAAGCCAGCCCAGGCCAAAAAGTCCATGAGACTTATCTCCAATTAACCACCCCCTAAAAAAGCTGGAAGTAGAACTGTGGCTCAAGTGGTAGAGCTCTAGCCTTGAGCACAAAAAGCTCAGGGACAGCACCTAAGCCCTGAGTTCAAGCCTCAGGATCTGCACGCACACACACACACACACACACACACACACACACTAAGACAAAGAGATGGAGAGGGGAAGGAAGGAAGGAAGGAAGAAAGGAAGGAAGGAAGGAAGAAAGGAAGGAAGGAAGGAAGGAAAAAGGGAGGGAGGGAGGAAGGGAGGGAAGGAGGAGGGGGAGCGGGAAGGAAGGAAGGAAGGAGGAAAGGAAGGAAAGAGGGAAGGAAGGAAGGAAGGGAGGGAGGGAGGGACGGAGGGAGGGAGGAAGAAGGGGAGGGAGGGAGGGATGGAGGGAGGGAGGAAGAAGGGGAGGGAGGACACAGTACTGACATACTTGTGGGTAAAAGGGCAACAGACTTTTAAATGATTAGGGAAGAAATCTGTTGTGTGTGCACATGTGCGTAGGTAGTTTGGAGATGGGGGATAGGAGTGAAATAGAGAGAGGCAGAGGTGGAAGACAGAAGGGGGAGGGAGGGAGGGAGGGAGGGAAGGAGGGAGGGAGGGGGAAGGAAGGAGGGAGGGAGGGAGGGAGAGAGAGTCAGTCCAGGAATTCTTTGTACTATGCTTGCAACTTTTTGTGTATGTCTGAAATTACATTAAAGAAACTATCTATTACTATCTTAAGTGTAAAACCCAGTGTCGCTTGCTACACATTGGAGAGAACTCGAGAACAGGGCAATGCTAGATCCACTGTCTGGTCTGCTGGAGCCTGAGCAGAGGCTCTGCCTGTCTTTGTGTGTGTGTAGAGACGGGCAGTGGGGAAGCAGAGCTGTCCTTGCCCAGCCATTATAAGGACCTCACACAGGGCTCACAGGGGCTTTGCATTGCCACTCATCAGAGATCCATGAGTTCCAGAACATTCAGCTCATGAAAGTTTAATGAGAGCCCTTCAGGCCAGCTCCATGTGGAGTCCTGTCACCCAGAAGACAGGCCAGTGTTCTCAGGAGTTTCGCACCAGGACAGTCATTGGGCAGTAGGGGGATGGGTGGGCAGTATCTAGCTTGTAGCGGGCTTGCAGAATCCCAGCAGGAGATCGGGCCGGAGCAGAGCCAGCAGCTGCCCTGGGACGCACAGCAGAGCCGCTGAGAGCTGGGGAGGGAAAGAGATATCATCAGAGTGGGAAAAGAGAGGTGGCTGACCCTGCCCACGGCCTGCCGCGCCCCAGAAAACTGAGCCGCGAGTCTCCTCACTCCACTCTCATCATTCCACAATCTTCCACCTGCAAGCGGGGCATTCTCCTCACCTGCCTGACGGCAGTTTGCGTGTGTGTGTGTGTGGGGGGGGGTTACTGGGGCTTGAACTCAGGGCCTTGGGCACTGCCCCCTGAGCTTTCTCACTCAAGGCTGGCATTCTGTCACTAGCTCTGCTTGCAGCATTTTGGTGGTTAATCAGAGATAAGAGTCTCATAGTCTTTCCCTGCTGGGCTGGCTTCGAATGTCCATCCTCAGATCTCAGCCCTCTTGAGTAGCTAGGATTACAGGTATGGGCCACTGGCACCCAGCTCACACTGGCTTTGGAGTGGGGTACCCCCAGGCCCACGTGACATTCAAGGCACAGATTCCATGGGGTGCCCGGCCTCAGCTCTGCGGCTAGTTGTCGGTTGGAGAGGGAGGTTTACGTGTGTTCTATAAATAGACTCTGCTACAACCTGAACAGCTGTGTCCCACAAAGGCACGTGAAAAGTTGCAAATGGGAGTCACTGGTGCCCCTCACTCCTGACCCAGTTTGTCACCCCTCTCCACACTAATGCCCCCTGGCACATTGGTTTTTAATTAAGCCAGCCAAAAAGATGAAATACAATTAGAGACAAGCCCCTAGGGGAACAGTGCTGGAAATCGTAAGGTCTCATCTCAAAGGCAAAGAGAAATAATTTAGTTTGTATTAATTAATTACGAATTAATTTTTTTAAAGAAGTAATCATTAGCCAAGCACCATTGACTCATGTCTGTAATCCTAGCTACTTAAGAAGCTGAGATCTGAAGACTGTGGATTGAAGCCAGCCCAGATAGAAAATCCATGGACTTTCTCCAATGAACCATCAAAAAACTGGGAGAAGAGCTATGGCTCATGGTGGTAGAGAGCTAGCCTTGAACAAAAGAGCTCAGGGACAGCACCCAGGCTCTGAGTTCAAGCCCTGGTACTGCCACAAAAGGGGAAAGAAAGAAATAAAAAGAAAGAAAGAAGGAAGGAAGGAAGGAAGGAAGGAAGGAAGGAAGGAAGGAAGGAAGGAAGGAAGGAAGGGAAGGGAAGGGAAGGGAAGGGAAGAAAGAAAGAAAGAAAGAAAAATTAAGAGCCATAGAAAAAGGCAGGCTGGAAGGATGCTTCACGTCTTAAAGAGCCAAATATGTAACTAACACATTCATTAAAACGAACATCGATCCAGTAATTATTCAGTAGATAGGAATATAAATAACACAGAAATTAGTAAACATAAAAATGAATAAGCAAGAAAACAAATTCCCTGAATTCAAATCCCAGTGCAGACCAAAAGTAAAAATGAAAAATAAATGAATAAAAAGAATTAATAGTTAGTTGCCCGTGGCTCACGCCAATAATCCTACCTACACAGGAAGCTGAGATCTGAGGATTACAGTTTAAAGCCAGCATGGGCAGGAAAGTCCGTGAGACTCTTATCTCCAACTAACCACCAAGAAGTCAGAAGTAGAGTTGAGGCTCAAGTTGTGGCTTAAGCACCAAAGTTCAGGGACAGCACCCAGGGTCTGAGTTCAAGTCCCAGGACCCGTGCGTGCATGCATACACACATTAGAATTAAGAGCCCAGATTGGCCTCAAACAGATAATCCTCCTGCCTCCATCTCTTGAATGCTAGGATTAGAGGCATATGCCGCCAAGCCTGGCTGAGAAATAACTTTTGTGCCAAGTGTTTAGAACAAATGCAATGCCTCTTCTATTCAGTACTCTTTTCGCTCAATTTGCAAACATTGCTCCTGCACTATGGCTCCTCTTCCTCCTCTTCTTGGGTCTCATTTGCTCCGTTTTCTCACTTCGTTCCACCCTGGGTGACAGCTGGTTACTGCCTCTTTCGCTGAGGGGAAAAAATGATGAGCAGCAGAATGGAAACTCAAAGCCAGATCCATAGCATCCAAAGTCTAAGTTCTGTTAGGCCTCTGGGGTTGGCAGGGGAGAGAGAGAGAGAGAGAGAGAGAGAGAGAGAGAGTGTATGTGTGTGTGTGTGTGTGTGTGTGTTGGGGATGGGGAAAGGGAATAAGCCAATGTACCCCTCCCCTACATCCATTCAAGGACATCTGATCGTCCTCTAAGAGAAAAAACGCCCACATTGAAACCAGAAAGCAGCCTTGTGTATTGAGCGACGCATTTATCATCGCCATCTGAACGGCCGCCCCCTCCCTAGGGTCTCCATCCGTGGGGTGCAGAGCACCTCCAGTCTGAGAGGCTTCCTTTGGTGGGTGGAGGGGCTGCAAAGAGGCCTTGAGCGGCACCGGCAAGAGCAAAACGGGTGAGCACCGACACACAACGGGCAAGGGCCCCCCGTCAGTCCTCACTTCCCGGACTGATAGAGCTCAGTGATGGGCAGAATCCTCAAATCCACCAGCCCCAAATGTACCAATCTGCCATTGGAAACCAGTGCCAAGGTACAAGCCAGAAAAGCAGTGACCTTCCTGAGGACCAGTTCCCCCTCAACCCGCCCCCAGCCCCCAGCGCACGTCCCAGAGTCCGCAGCCTCACACAAGCCTCGTGGAGGTGTTTCATTCTCAGAGGTCTCGCTGCACTGGCAGGATGGGGGTCAGATGAGAACAACGATGTGCTGTGTGCACAGGGTCCCTCCAGGGGACCTGAGGCGGGGCCGCTGGCATGTGTGGCCTGTCCTGAGTCTGCCTAGAATTTATTTATACCGCACCTCCCACTCCTCCCTGTAGGACCTGACAACAGGCAGAGGCAGCACCAGGGCTGCGCTGGCGTGGGTGCGGGGTTTCAGGCTGGCTCTGAACCTGGCTTTTCTGAGGCCTCCCCAGAAGTGGGAAACTCGTGGTCTTGGGATGGGCAGGATGGGCCTGCAGGGAGTTGGTTGGGTACTTGTATCCGAGAGACTGGGTTATACGAGATGTGTGTGCTCACCACAAACCGGGAGGAGCTCCTTCACCAAAATGTCCACCATCAACCACACAGGTGCCTGAATGCATGCTCTTAGCATCTTACCCCTTGGCATTAAAGGGATTGCCAATGCCAGAGTCATTTTTTTTAAATTGGTCGTGGGGCCTGAACTCTGGGCCTGGGTGCTGTCCCTCAGCTCTTCAGCTCAAGGCTAGAGCTCTACCACTTGAGCCACAGCACCACTTCCGGCTTTTTCTGCTTATGTGGTGCTGAGGAATCAACCCAGGGCCTCATGCATGCAAGGCAAGCGCTCTACCACTGAGCCACCTTCCCAGGTCCTGCTAGAGTCATTTTTATTTATTTATTTTTGTTGGTTTAGGGCTTGAACCTCAGGGCCTAGGCACTGTCCCTGAGCTCCTCTGCTCAAGGCTGGCATTCTACTACCACTTTGAGCCACAGCTCCACTTCTGGTTTTCTGGTGGTTCAATGGTAATAAGAGGCTCTCAGATTTTCCTGTCCAGGCTGGCTTTGAACCACGATTCTCAGATCTCAGCCTCCTGAGTAGCTAGGATTGCAGGCATGAATCATGGATGCCCAGCTTCGAAGTCATTTTTAGAGACTCTTAGGATGTGCCAGACATGAATACCTAAGTATGAATTATTTTCTCAGACTTGTAAAGTTTTGGAGGTAGAAGCAAATTCAGAAATTACGTCAAACGATATATTTTTATTATAGGTTGTTTTTTTTTTTTCCCAGATTTCATTTGAAGCAGAGATGGAGCCCTGAGGAGAGTTTCCGAAGGCAGTCAGATGATAAATATTTCAGGATTTGCTGATCACAGCCTCTGGTGTAGCTATTTAATTCTGCTTTTCATGAACCATGAAAAGCAACCGCTGACAGTATGTAAAAAAATAAGTGTGACTGTGTGTTCCAATTAGATTTACTTAGGGCCCCTAGAAAATGAACTGCACACTACTTGTCTGTGTCAGGCGATATTCTTCTCATCTTTTCTCCCCCCTCCCCCCCACTACCCTCAGTTATTTATAAATGTAAGTGTTGCCCCTCAGCTTTCAGGCTAAAGGGCCTTGAATGGCTGCTTCTTGCTCTAGAGGGGAAGTTTCCAGAAAGTTACATGGCAGATTCTCCCATATTTTGAAGCTGTTTTTTTTTTAAAGACACAAAAACAAAAACATTTCACCAAATGTTTGATGGAGCAGGATATGATTCACGTCTTGCCTCTGATGTCTTACTTTCAATGCTAATGTTTGAAAACCCTGGCTGTTCTTTTAAATGAATGGAGGGAATAGAGCTTTTATATCCACCACCATCACCCACTAGTGAGTTCACAGGATTCTTTTGTATCCTTGAACTCACTTCAGTTTTCCCACACCATCTTTACTTGTATAGATTTTTTTTTTTTTTTTTTGCCTGTCCTGGGCCTTAAACTCAGGGCCTAGGTGATTTCTTTAAGCTTCTTTTGCTCAAGGCTAGTGCTCTACCACTTGAGCTTCAGTTCTTTTTTTTTTTTTGGTCAGGTCGTGGGGCCTGAACTCTGGGCCTGGGCACTGTCCCTCAGCTCTTCAGCTCAAGGCTAGCGCTCTACCACTTGAGCCACAGTGCCACTTCCAGCTTTTTTCTTTTGCTTATGTGGTACTGAGGAATCGAACCCAGGGCCTCAGGCATGCAAGGCAAGCGCTCTACCACTGAGTCATCTTCCCAGCCCCTTAAGCTTCAGTTCTATTTCCCGCTTTTTTGTGATTAATTAGAGCTAAGAGTCTCACAGATTTTTCTGCTAGGGCTTGCTTCAAACTTAGATTTCAGACTCCTAAGCAGCTAGGCTCACAGGCATGAGCCATTGGAGCCCAGCTTAGGTTTTTTTTCTTTGTGCCTGTACTGAGGCTTAAACACAGAGCCTGGATACTATAGCTCAGCTTTGTTTCTTCAAAATGAGTGCACTATTACTTCTGGCTTCTTGGTGCTTAATTGGGGATAAGAATCTCAGAATCTTTCCTGCCT